AACGTTAATATATTTGTATGTTCTTACAGATACAATTTTTTCATTCAACAAAAAGGAAATTTGTTGTCGGAACTGTGGTTATTCTTCCAAGCTTCCAAGCCTCAGTTATGGTTATGAAGCTTCCAAGCCTCAGTTATCGACGTCTGCGTGGGGACCTCATTGAAGTATACAAGTATACTCATGACTTATACAAGGTCCCAGAAGGATTACTAGAATTTGAAACAAGAACCAACACCAGGGGCCACGGCTATAAACTAAAAAAACAGCGTTGGAACACATCCATGCGACAACATTTCTTCTCGCTTCGAGTCACCGACATGTGGAACAGCCTACCTGATAGCATCGTTGACGCTCCGAGTATGAACATCTTCAAAAACAGACTAGACGAAGCTATGCAGGAGCATATGTTCAGTCTTAAAATGCCTAGCAAATTACGGACCAGGCAATAAGTCCAGCAGCTATCTCAATCAATCGTCAGCTATGGAAAGATCGGGTTCCAAAGGCCGGATCCCTTGTGAATCAAGTCACGAAAAGTTCAAGAATCGGCAACAGGCCATGGGCCTATTTCTTCAGCGCCGACACTTCTATTCTATTCTATTCTATTCTATTCTATTCTATTCTAAAACCTGAACACGGGGTTACGTCAACCCAAACTCGGCAAAACGGCAAGCGTTTTACAACTTTTTTAATAAGATCAGTCAGAAATTTGTTGAGAGCATACTTCTTGACTCTTCTTATTCACATACCTGAAAGGAGTATTTCATAAATTTTTCAGATCCCTTAATATTTTCTCCAAATTTTATGAGACAATAATCACCTTCATAGGTCCCCACCTCCACCCCTGTACAAATAAATACACAGCGGACCGTGCTGCACCCGGACGGCAGATGTTCACATCCCGTTTATAGGAGCAGCTGCGGTCCCAAAACAACCCTCATCATCCAATACACCATGCATCATCACACTGACGGACTGACGCGACTCGCCGAGAGTGACTTACAGTGAATAATAAAAATAATAGCAGTTTCAGCGTTTAGTAGGCCGTAGGCCTGTCGCCGATTCTTAACATCCCAAAACATTCACAACATTTTGCGGTCTCGAACTCACAACTCACTGCTTCAATTCTGCTGTGCTTAACCGCCCGGCCTCCTTGCCAATTCTGAACAGAAACTGGCGCACAGAGCTGGGATCGAACCCGCGCCTCTCTGCGCCAATCTTGGTACTCTGAACTGTAACCACTGGGCTCTGAAGACGAGACAGAAAACCCAGCACGAAATAAACCAATTCCCCACACCTCCCTCCGAGTCTCAAAGGGAGGCGGGATCATGCCAGATTTTATTGTAGATTTATCCAACGGTTGTCACTGGGTTATCTTAGTATTGATCAACGAGCGATTCACATATTATTTTTTTAAAGTTATTTCGTGGTAACGTATACATGATAGAGAGAAAATTAAAGCATTGAGATTTTTTCCGCTTATTATCAGCAGCTAGTGTTACTGATAAAAAAAGGCATTAAGATTTGTTTTGTTCCCTGCTCGTGCGCACTCGGACATGAACTGCATATCTGAGGCGTGAACAATTTATTTTCTAACAATGTTATTATTGTTTATAGTTTATACGCTTATCGTTAGTCTCGTGTTAAGAGGCGAAGTCGGCGCTCATGAATTAGCCCGATCATGCATTTTACCCTAAACCCTTGCCTCTTTGCTGACTTCATTTTTATATCGTGTTAACAGTGTTGCTACCCTCGGCTAATCTTGCTTTTCTTTAACATAATTCAAGTTTGTGCAAATGTGTTTTCATTTTGTTTTGTTCAGATTAATTGCATGTTTGCGCTTTTGAGTTCGTTCGTTTAAGTTTTATTATACTAGTGCCACTTCATTTGTTGAACCACATTGGGTTTGAGTTACTTCGTTTAGCTTCTGTGCTTAAATTAACTTAGCTTCTAGACTTGGAGCCTAGCTTTAACTTCGCATGCTTGCATGTCCTCATTTGACACCAGTAAGCACAAGCGAACACACTTTGTACTATTTTTATTTTTTCCTTCTTATAGCTCTCAACGACAACTCTTGTCTAGAGTTCCTCAACGGAAACAAATAGGTTAGTTGTTTTTATTATAGTTCGGATTTTATTTGCTCACAATTTTCTGAAATTTTTAGCGCAATTCCTCCCGATAATTACAAGATATATCAATTCAAACTTCTTATCTGCTCTTATCAATTAAGAATTCACCCAATCTCCGTAACGTGTCACCCGACCTGCAAACCTGTCAGCTTGCTTCTTTGTGACCGATAACTAAATTTTATTCTGTAACCAACGATTTAATTGTGAGGCTAAAGAGAGAGATATATAACTTGACTTACAGTGACTTACTTGCGTTACAGTGACTACAGTGACTAAGAGTAAAACAATATTGAACTCAACATTATTAAACTCACCCCTTGATTTCTGTACCTATACTGATAACGGCCAATTTCCCCTGCAGTGCGAACTACTGCTACTGTTATCTGTTCTTTACCTGACCGCTGTTCACACACTTCGTTCTGACGTTGAATAAGGTTTCTTCGCTGCAATTGACATTTTTTATTTCCAATTGTTCCATAATTTAATACCAGCAGTCCAATTGATGCGGCTCATGGCATTGAGGGACAAATTTATTCGTTGAAGTAAAGTTCAATAATTATGTTAACACGAGAGAGAATCTCGAATCCCCAAGCCATCCATTATTTCTCATAGAAATCTTAATTAAGAAATCGTTTTTTTTATTTCCTATATTCAGTTGCGTTAACATATCAACTCAATATCACTGGTTTTGTTTTGAAAATATTTGTAAATTAACACCCTCCTGTTCTTAAAAAAGGCATGTTGCCTTATTGTTGCATGAATTTTTTTATTATATTACATTTTATTAAGAGGTTAAACATAGCTGCACGATTTCAGTACGTGTTTCTATTTATTAATGCACAAGTTCCATCCGTGTTTCCTTCTCATCCTGCTTCCTGTCAGTGCAGTGCGTGCAACACATGGAAAAATTTCCTTATCTATATAAGGTCCGTTACTCTCGATAAAAACCTTATCTGCTCTCGGATAAAAGAACTTATTGACTTCGCGTTCACTTCATCATCAGTGAACGCGATAAATTCGACAAAATCGTGTTGGTTCGGTCTGCGATAGAAAAATAATACAAAAATGCATTCCAACACTCCGTAAATTTCACTTTCTTGTATAATTTCACTCACTTCTACTAGAGATAACCTTCCTGAAGATCAAAATCGATGAGAAGAGCGCGATGTAATGAGCGGCCGATGTAACTGTTCTGTCGACCTCAGCGGCGCATCTAAAGACCGTTCGTTGCAAGCTCGTCGCGCGATAACGGTTGCTGACACAATAAAGCTTTACAGATGCGAGAGTCATGGAAGGTTTTAGTAAACAATGCGAGGTCAAATAGATTCGAAATTTTTAGTATGATGTAAAGAATTTCTTGAAAGAGTTGAACAACCGAAAAAGATTTGCTCTGAAATTCGAGACGTCTTATCAGCTCGTTTGTCCGCGGGCACTATTAATTTTTTATTAATTATTGACCAACATAGGCAATACGACAGTGTGATTTCGGATACTTCGTATTTAAATTTTCCAACTGAAAGAAATGAGGTTGTTCGACTTCTGAAAAACAGTAATATGCATACTTCTGTCAATCGTTCGATCATGAGTGAACATCTTTGACATGAGCTACACGTTTCGTTGATTAAATAGAAAAAACATGGTAATAGGAAAACGAAATGTACACGTCGATGTTTCCAAAACTGTAGGATTGATACGTTTCATTTCATTAAAAAATCGTGTATTATATTCCCTAATAGTGATGCTAAAAATTAGATTTGAGCAGTAAAGTGCAAAAAAATATTGAAAGCCCGAACGATGAGCATGTCAAAGACTTATACATTTCAGAATATTATGTTGGTCTTTGCGCTGCATGCACGAAACTTATCAAATTATAGTACCTATCAATATTCTTGTTATAAGAAATTCATGTCAAGAAACTTAGGTCAACCTTGCTCATAACTTACCCGAAAACAACGTCGATATTTTCGCCGTCGTCAGTAACGTAACACGTAGCAACGTCGTCACTGCTCACGGAACAAAGGGCTCCGCCGCCTGCGAGGCTCAGTGTCGCTCAGAGCGTCAAGTGTTTCGGTGGTGTGCCGCTGCACGCGCCACAGAGCAGGAAGACTGTTACCGAGTCTCGTGCCCCATGGCTGGACGTTGTACATGGCTAATTTTATGAAATGTGATAATATTTCATATGAAATTAGAGCAATGCAACTACATGAGTAATTATTTTGTTAAATACAGTAAGTGTTTAAAATTTACTTTTTAGAGACAACACGTCTAAAGAGGCCAGCGTCTCCGATTTTAAACATGTGCAATTAATTTACAATTATGTTTTTAAATAGTAAAAAAATATATTTCATGAATTTTTTTTAATATTTGAAAAAAAAAACAAATAAATTTGTTAATTTATTTACTCTGTCAATTGATTCATGAATTGTCTACGACTTTACGCAAGTGTGCAAAATTTCATATCGATTGGACTGGATCGATTATGAGTCATTGTCGCCGATATTGCGCAAGTGTGCAAAATTTCAGATCGATTGGACTGAATCGATTATAAGATTTGTAGCAGACAAATAAACAAGAAGTGAAGTTAAAGAGAAGTGTTGTAATGAAAAGGAAAACTTTTTCACAATGGAAATATGAGTGAAAATGAAGTCGGGAATGGGAATAACTGTTTGAATAAATAAATAGCGGTTTCAGCGTTTATTTGGCCGTAGGCCTGTCGCCGATTCTTACCATCGCAGAACATTCACAGCATTTTGCGGCCTCGAACTTGCAACTCACTGCTACATTTCTGCTGTGCTTAACCGCCCGGCCTCCTCTCCGATTCTGACCAGAAACTGGCGCACAGAGCTGGGATCGAACCCGCACCTCTCTAGTGCGTCAATCTTGGTGATCTGAACTTTTAAACACTGGGCCACCCTGCCCCAAACCCTGCCCTGCCCACCCTTCCCCAATAGATCGGGAATTCAATATTAAACACCATAGCAGGCAACTACGATGACTCGGAAGGTTAGAATTAAATTTTGTTAACTGTCGTATTCTGAAATTTGATCGTCAACTTTACCGAATATATTTTGTATGTAATGAAATTCATAAATTGTTCCTTAATAACGTCTATCAGGCGTAATCCAAATTAGTAATTTTGGATTTTGATATCCCGCATAATTAGACGAAACAAGAAATCAACCAAATTTACAATGTATTGATCGGCAATACTAGCCAGGCCACTAATGTGTTCATGGTCTCAGTGGGTGAGATGGTATCTGTCTCTTATACACATCTAGATGTGTATAAGAGACAGCACTGAGGTGATGGTACAGCACACTGAGGTGATGGTACAGCACTGAGGTGATGGTACAGCACACTGAGGTGATGGTACAGCACACTGAGGTGATGGTGGTACAGCACACTGAGGTGATGGTACAGCGCACTGAGGTGATGGTACAGCACTGAGGTGATGGTACAGCACTGAGGTGATGGTACAGCACACTGAGGTGATGGTACAGCACAGCACCTGTCTCTTATACACATCTAGATGTGTATAAGAGACAGAGTAAGAGCATCCTGCTACACTGAGGCCAGTAAGAGCGTCACCTGCTACACTGAGGCCAGTAAGAGCATCACCTGCTACACTGAGGCCAATAAGGCAGTCACCTGCTACACTGAGGCCAGTTTCAATGATGTGACGTATCTCGCTGACAGAGAGGCTGTTGCCCTCGATGGCGACGGTGTGGTGGATGTGGTAGAAGTGCGCCTCGTTCTGGATGCGCTGGAGGGCGGGGAAGCTGTCGGGGATGTGGCTCAGCTGCACCTTCTTCACCTCGATGGCCTCAAGCTGCCGCAGGTCCTTTGAGGCCACCAGGCCCTCAGTGCGCATCCTGTTCCTGCCCAAGCCACAGGAGGATTAGTGAAAGGAAAGTGAAGGAAGCGCGTCAGCATGGCCATGGACTGGGGACCATATTTCTAAAACTCGCTAAGTGAACGTAAGTACTTACGCTCTATTTTCTTGTCTATGATTGGTGGATTTTGCTTGTAAGGCCGTCAATGATTGGCTGGTGAACTTACGATCTCTTATTTTTCTTTAATGTATAGGCCCAGTAAGTCCTTAACTTGGCATAGGGATAATTTTGATTCTGAGAGGACATAAGCAGCGAATTGTGATGTTAACTGCCCCTCATTTGAGTGGTACAGCACTGAGGTGATGGTACAGCACTGAGGTGATGGTACAGCACTGAGGTGATGGTACAGCACTGAGNACAATTCTTCTATTTTGAGTTTCGTGTCGAATATTTGTTATAACCACACGATAGGCTCAAACCGTGCTAATGAAAATACGAAGTAGCGTTGAATGGAACCCAATTTTAAGGTAAAACGCACGCTTTGTGCATACATGAAAATACATAGTGATTATTAAATTGAAGTTTAATTCACAACGTAGTAATGAACATTCCGAAACCTGTCTCTTATACACATCTAGATGTGTATAAGAGACAGATACTAGCCAGGCCACTAATGTGTTCATGGTCTCAGTGGGTGAGATGGTATACTAGCCAGGCCACTAATGTGTTCATGGTCTCAGTGGGTGGTATGGTATACTAGCCAGGCCACTAGTGTGTTCATGGTCTCAGTGGGTGGTATGGTATACTAGCCAGGCCACTAATGTGTTCATGGTCTCAGTGGGTGGGATGGTATAGGGCCATACTTTCAAAGCTCGCTAAGTGAACGTAAGTACTTAAGCTCTGTTTTCTTGTCTATGATAGGTGGATTTTGCTTGAAAGTCCGTCAATGATTGGCTAATAAACTTACGGTCCCTTAACGTTTTTGAAAGTATAGGCCCTGCAGGACACTAATGTGTTCATGATCGCAGTGGGTGGGCTGGTGCGCCGCGAGCTGCGCGATTCTCTTCGTCATCTACTCGATGTCGGCGTCCAACGATGGGTGAGTTTGGGTTGTCTTATTAATAATTTCAATTTTTCAGTAGAAATTAATCCGAGCATAATCCTAAATTTGAACTTTTGAATCAATATAAACAAATCATAAATTTGAACTTTTAAATCAACATAAAATAATCATAAATTGAACTTTTGAATCAAAGATCAACGACACTCCTAGTTCGGATGTCGACATGAACGTAGACTGATTTGTCACAATCAAGCAATAATTCCTAACACAATACAAACATATTTTATGACGCATGGTTAATTACAATGTCAAGTTCCTTTGTATTAGAGTTGGAGATTTCATGCAAATCATGGTTTATCTAGCGTTTGTTTGCTAAGTAAATTTTTAGATATTAGATTTGGGGTTCAAAATATCCATAAAATTTTACGTATCCAATTTTCACTTTTTGCTCAACGCATTGATAAGTAGTTACTCATGATTGTGGAGTTTTTAATTACCATCCCTCAATAAAATTGAAAGGAAAAACACGATATTGCAGAGCAACCATGACTCGAGGAATTTCAATTAAACTAGTTGGATACACCTGTTCTCACGCACACATGTTTCCATGCACACCTGTTGCAATGTGCTCATGATTAATACTGAGCTTCATCATCTAAAAAATTTCCATGTACGCAGTAAAGCGAAGTCAATTTATTAGAGGATATGAAACTCCAGATCAATTAGCTTGTCAACCAACGTTCTGATGTATTAACACACATAGTCTGGTGTTCATGTCATTTTTATTCGATGGATGAAAGATTATAGTTTGAAGTCTAAGAGATCGAAAACCTATCCACTCGTAACACGCATATCATATCACTTACTCGTCTGCAGAGTTTTATAGCCAATAAATAAACTCGTTGATAGAAGATTAATACATTGGAAGTTCTCTCCTAAATTTGCCAATTTCTATGCTTGCTTTATAGTTTGGCACGTCAGTACCGCTTCCTGTTAATTTCTGCTTCAAGATATGCTACATATAAGATATTTTAGCGTAATAAACAATTAAAGTCACTATTTATGCCATCGGTGCCAGTGCAGATCCGTCAGAGTCCCAAAAATTGAGAGCAAGAGGCTTAATCTTGGTATCAAATACCAAGATAATTTGAGTACAAGACCTTACTCGACGTGGCCAGGCAGTGGTCACGAAGAAGAGCTTCATAATGCAGATCAAATGCCCAGAAATTCAACATTGTACCAGCAGGCAGACGAAAAGGTAGAAGGAGAGCAAGTGACGAACAGCACAAAAATCATGTCTTCTGTTGCAAAAATGATCAGCATAATCCACAATAACGTCAACGAAATAAACTCAGTAACAAAACCTAGTTCCATCAATCAGTCAACAACAATCGAACGGAATGAAACGTACGGAGCACTTCAACAGCCTCCAAAAATGTCCGCTCTTAATGCGACGCAAAGTGTGGCTATGCGGCCTGAAGACAATTCGACAAGCGCCCTCAACACTCAGATCGGAGGAGCGGTCACTTGGCTGCAGCTGGTCCAGGCAGACATGCAGGCTCGGCCTCCCGACCTCGTCAGAGAAAAAGTCCGCGTTAGGTGAGACTATCCATCAGGAATTTCTCTTTATCCTAGAAAGGAATGCTCTGATAATTCTATATTTTCACAGTTTTTGCAGCTAGAAAAATTCAACAATTGTTTAGTTGTAGAAATTCAGAACAAAGCTGAAATTTCGCTTCTTTCAGCATAAATAAAGTATAAAAATCAACTTTGCTTTCAGCAAAACTTGGATTCTACCGGTTTTTGCTTTTTTCCTTTGTTGTATCGCGCGTTGTTTAGAGGAGCAATGCTTAATTGTAACAATATTAAAAGATTTCATTAATGATAACTATTATACACAAATTTTTACTTCCATATTATTATATTTTACTTTAACCAACACAGCCCTGGCCCATCCTCTCCTTCGAAGGAAACAAGAGACCAACTCAAACATATCCTGTTTTGGAATCATGTACGTTTGAACATCTATTAAAGTCTTGCACGTTTTAATTTGGCACGCAAATCTGCTTACTGCATCTTCCAAACCTTCAAGTCGAATTACTTCAACGCAAAATAAGTTCGCAACTGACAAATTATTTAATAACATTTTTATTCATTCAGATAGACTTGCTGAAAATATCTGTTCCCTGCAGTATGCATAACTCGAAAGCATTCTTCTTAAAGTCTTTATTGGAAAATGCAAATCTCTTCAACAGCCCACTTTCTACTTCGGCGTGGGACGAGAACCTTTCCTGCGTGCGGGCTGCCCCGTGAACCGCTGCTACGTCACCACAGACCGCACGGAGGTTCCCTACCAGGAGGTGGATGCCCTCGTCTGGATTCCGCTTAGCCCAGATAAAAGCTTTCCTCCTGTAAGGTAAATAATAAATTTATTAACGTGGTTAACGAAAATAACCGCTACATCAAACCGCTACACAGCCCTGTGATACCCGTCAGTGTCCGTCAATTTCATGTTCTTCTGAATGGGCGGTAAAAGTTTTTTCCCTTTAAGTGACGACTCACTCAAAACAAGAAAAATTATACATTAATTAAGATACCTCATTCATGAGCTTTGCTGAAGAATTGTTGATAGCGTTCACTGACTTAGCGTGGTATTGATCAAATAATTCCTAAACAAGATATGAATCATAGGGAAGAATACATGGGACTTAGCTGCTAGCCTCCCTACAGATCCCCTCACACTCGATACGTCTACTTCCTGTGGGAGCCTCCGTGCGTCGAAAGGGAAGATATAGAAAGAATCAATGGCGTCTTCAACTACACCATGACTTTTCGGAGGGACTCGGACATCTATAATCCGTGAGTTGCGTGGATTTGGCAAAAAATCTTTGTGATAACTTGACTAAATGAAAATTATCATGTTATTTGTTGGGTGTAGTATGTGCGTCCATAAAAAAATTGAGTATTTACATAAGAAACGTTTCCGAAGTTCTGCTTCAGTACAATATCTTGATGAAGCTTATTAGTGACAACGGTCGTTTAAGTTAATCTAATGTTTTCAATTTCCAGCCTATTTTCTAAGAGACAAACTTAAGGATATTCCCTACATACATCCTAGGAAGAATACAGTCTGTTCTTTCAATTTGTAAGAGCTGTCACAAGACGAGTAGCTACGTACAGCCTGCGCAACGCATTTCGAAATTTTGCGGGTATTCCCCGCATGCGCTGGCGAGCATCTTTCGCACCACAATTCTTCTATTTTGAGTTTCGTGTCGAATATTTGTTATAACCACACGATAGGCTCAAACCGTGCTAATGAAAATACGAAGTAGCGTTGAATGGAACCCAATTTTAAGGTAAAACGCACGCTTTGTGCATACATGAAAATACATAGTGATTATTAAATTGAAGTTTAATTCACAACGTAGTAATGAACATTCCGAAACGATTGGGCCAGCGTCGTCCCGTTCAGACCTGACCACATATAATTTCAGGTACGGAACGTTTGGCGCTCTCGCATCACCCCGTACGCACCTGCGCACTAAAGACTACGCGCGGGGCAAGACTAATCTGGCGGCGTGGTTTGTGTCCAACTGTGAGGCCAGGAGCGGCAGAGACATGTACGTTCGTAGTGTATTAGTCAGGAACCAGCATCGGGCTCTCACATATTTCTAATCAATGCACTGTACCCGGATTTTCAAGACGATGCTTGTTTAAAGAACCTCCAATTAAATATATACATTTTTCCTTTTTCAATTTTAAATAACAACTTAATTTTCACTCAGAAATGTCTCTCCTGGTGGAAAAAATGCGAGTATCTCTTAAGCGACGTATAGACGTCGTTTAAGAGATACAGGTATTTTTTCAATTTTGTCTCCGGAACTTATAAAACTCTCATAGATCTTCACAAAAGCCATCTGCTTTGTCTTCATCTTCAGTTGACAGAAATGGCCAAGATGTCATTCAAGTGCACCACTTCGTGAGCTGCCGAACAACTATCGCTGGCTAATTTGTAGACATTGTATTACTTGATTTACTTCTAGCAAATTAGTAGCCGCAGAAATGTTGAGAAATAATTTCACTGAAAAGGATGGTGGATATTAATCATTCTCCCATAGTTACTGTTTTCAATATGAGAATTAAATCGGTTACTTTGTAACTGCACAGAATCCTTTTTTTCCACGTTTTCTTGTAAAATCCTTAAAGGAATTGATAAATTTTACATACTTATTTTTAGTCATAAATTTCTTTTGCAGCTTAGAGAAAGAACTTGAGCGATATATTCCTGTGGATGTCTATGGCAATTGTGGAACGATGAATTGCCCTCGGTCCAGCTATGAAAAATGCTACGAGCGAGCTGCCGCTACCTACAAATTCTATTTCAGTTTTGAGAACTCGCTGTGCGATGACTACATTACTGAAAAGTTCTTTTTGACCGCAAGGTGAGATTTTGTGTGCAACCGGAAAAAGAATTAACCTTTTTTTCTTCAGTGTGTAACCTGATCAATGATCATGCTAGAAGATATGTGATTTGCTGTCGGCTTGTTTATGATCGTATTTGCCGTAGTGGGGTATCCTGATATGCTATAGATATTACAATTTATCATGAACAATATTACTTTTTCTGCTTCACTTACATTTTTTATGAAATTGGTATAAATTGGCACATGGACTGAGTTGGGCAAGCGAACAAACAAAAAGCTCAACAAACTAGTCTAGAACCCCAACCTAAACCCCCACCAAATGCCAAATCCTAATTATTCAATAATCAGATCGATAATATACTTAGACATTTAATGTGCGAACACAATGCAATAAATATGCTTGTGTGCAATACAGTCTTTTAATAATGAACCAAACCGTTCTTTTGTCATTGAGGTACGACATCCTTCTGGTGGTGTTTGGTCTGGGAGCGTACGAGGAGGTCGCTCCTCCGCACTCCTTCATCAATGCGCTCGACTTCCCCAGCATCCGCCACCTGGCCGACTACCTCATCTACCTTGACAGAAACGACACCGCTTATAACGAGTACTTTAGGTGAGTGGCTATAAAGCAAAATGTACTGACGTCGCTATGACGACTGGAATAGGCTAGCAAGGAAGGCGACGCGTCCATCCTTGCATTTCGAGGCGTCGAAGGCCCTAAGAATTTCCGACCATGGGCTGTCGCATAGACCTTCGGTATCGTGCGGATAACTTGCATTAAATTGTATTACGGTTTTGATATCTTGTATTGTTCTTAGTTAGTAGGATCCATTCATTAACTCATTCTCTTTCTCATCAAGGAATTCACTTATGATAAATTGTTTCTGTTGCAGGTGGAAGGTTGATTTTGAAGCTGCGGACAGTCAAAGAAACTTCTACCCTCATCACAAAAACATTTCTTGGTGTCAACTCTGCGAGAAACTTCACACAGATCTGGATGTTAGAATACACACAGATCTCAACGAGTGGATTAAAACTTCTCCCAGCTGCTTATCATCCAACGAAGGAGCAGTAAAAAGGTTTCTGCTCGGAGAGACAGCATCGACGCATTGATGAACATCACTCGCATCAGTGACGTCATTATGCCATTTTAGGGGGGCTTCAGCAATCTTAAAATATTCTTAAGCACCCACAAATATGTTTATATTCATTAATAAAAATTATTAATAATATTTTTTAAAGAAAAACCCCGGCAAAAGCGGCCTTTACAGAATTTAAAACTGGATAATCATGCAACCAGGAAATATTAACTTGCGCATATGATCGTACATCCAAGGGCGCTTAACTCCCCGCTAATATTGTTTTGTTCCACACTGCCGTTGTTTAACTGATTTAATTTGAATTTTGAATTTTTGGTTCAGACTACGCATAATGAATTGATTCGTTTTACAATCGTCATTCATCCACACACCTTATTTTAATAATTGCCATTTCTACACTTGAAAGAATAGGAAGCCAAGATTTATTAACATAAACAACATTTGTTTGGATATTACAACATTTAAACGGGAATGTTTAATTTTGAATGCACAGCAGACAGAGCAGATCACTTAATACTTTACGTTGCCCATCATTTTGAGCTTACTAGCAGCAATACGCATTATTATTATACGTATATCTTTCCCCTTAAATCAGTAGTTCCTTTTTTTGTTCGAACCCGAATATATAATGTGGTATGGTACAGTCACTAGGTACCGGCAGGCTTCAAGTATCGAACTCTACATATATTACTGGCTGATTCGTAGAGTTCGCTAATACGCTAAATGCATTTGTCTTACTTAGGGCGCTACTGGTCAGCACATAGGGCAATTTCATTGATTGAACTTAATGTTTGGCAGTTGGAACCAGGTGAGCGACGTGTGGCAACTGCTGCAAATAGTTTCCAGATTATCTTGTGTTATGAATGTAACATTCAAGTGAATGAATAATTATCTAACTATCTGAAAATCGCTAAAAACTCAGAAGCAAAGAAAACTCCACAAAAATTCATTCTGTCTTTATAGAAAATGTTTCGGAGTCCAGTTCCCTCGTCAGTTTGAAAATTTTAGAGTACAGATAAATCAGAAATTATTACAGTCGTGTAATTTAAGTTATGTAAAATGTTATGTAATGTTATGTACGAGTAAATGTTTTTTCTTTTTTGTCCGTTAAGAAAACGTGGTTTTTAATTTTTTTTTTGTTTTTCATTTGCTTTATTTCATCATTTTTAGTTTTGTAAAAACCAGAAAAACGTGCTTTTTAAAAATGGTTTTTGTATTTATTTATTTTCTACTTTTTAGTTAGCAATTTTAGCTATTGAAATCAATTTCCAGGGTTGGCAAGTGTGGATGTTCGAGAAAAAACTCAATTACAAACCGTGAATTTTTATTTATTTATTATTAATTTTTTCTAATTTTATTTATTTATTACTTCTGATGATCATATCTTGAATTGTTAGGCAGCATAAGCATGCATGCCAAATTTCAAGTTTCTAGGATGTTCAGAAGAGCTCTAAATTAAGGTCTGAATTTTTGATGATAGACAGGTAATAAATCTGAAATTAGTACAGTCAAAATTACAAAAAAAAAACTGAACGGTAAATCTTATCTATTTAGGATTTTAAGGGGTTAAGAGCTAAAAGCTGAAATTTTCTTTGCTTTTAAGTTATTAGTGAATTTGCTATTCAAGCAAACGAGTGACACTATTACTTAAATCTGAAAAGCGTTCATGTCTCTGAAACTTTTCCTATACCACCTAAAGGGCCCCATCCAAAAGGATGTAACGACGCGGTCTGTCTCATCAGACTCTCAGAGAGCATATCAAATGCACAGCTTATCGAAATAAATGGCCCGTGGTTAAAGTTCAACCAGGTTATGGCCGATCATTCAAGCGCGGCTCTAGCATGCTTAAATTCAGTCTGTCTGCGTGATTTTGCAACCTTAAAATTGTACATGCTTAGTTACACTTTTATCAAATCCGCAGGACGAGGGTTAGGCGCGGCTGTGCTGCTATGGCCTGTACCGGGACCAGCACAATTTATTTACACGAGTAGCAACCAAACAAAACAGAAGGATCTACTAAAATCAACCAAGCAACCAAGTCTCACATTTACACCCGTTCGTTCCTTCAGAGTATAACACTTCTGCCCACAATCCTACGCAAGTAGTTTTGAGTCCTATTTCGGTTCACTTCATTAACATTTGACTCGTTTCTCGTAATGCTTCGGTAACCTAACCTAATCTTTACCATTAGGACAATCAAACTTAGAACGACTCCCCTGTACCATGTCCAGCCCTGACACCTCAAGCCAGGTCATCAACCTGCTTGTCCCCCAGCCCAGAATACGAGCACAGATGTAGAAAGTTGATTCATAGAATACAGTTTTGACAGCAGAGTTTGGTACAGACAGAGGACTGGTTCCTGAGCTGAGTACACTGATATTTCAATGGACATGCTAAGCTGGAACAAAACTTCACCATCAATCCTGTCCGTGCTTCTGAGAAAGCTGCGTTAGCATCTCGAGGAGACAGATAACGGACTGGTGAAAAAACATGAATTCGTGAAGACGCCGCTTTCACTTGACCAACAAACATATTGTCCATCGGACGTGGGATGTGATGCTTGTTTCATCTTTGCATTATCGACGACATTCTGTCATTGATTTAAGACTTTAGCATTGCATATTAAAAATCAGGAAGAATTTATTCAATATTCATGTCCAAAGGAAACAAAATTCCGAACAAAAGATATTTATTTCACCACGATACAAAAATATGTCATTTGATATAAAATAATTCAGCACTCATCGCATAAACGTCACACAACAATCATTTTTATGCCTATACCCAAAACATCATCACCCAACCCATATCGTGCACTGCTTTAGTATAAGCCTAACACTACCTGTTATAATTAAGCCAAAAGAACCTGTAACTACAAAAATTTGTTGAGCGAGCGAGCCCTCACAAAATGTGCCGTCTACTTTTTTTTACCTATCAGGCTATCGTTGCCTGCGACTGCTACATCCGAAACAAATGCTAAGGATTATGATATTAGGCATAACAATTTGAACGATTAAGAAGATGAGCCCAAGCGCTGGTGTCGGCGTACAGCAGAGAATGTGCAGCGAGCTGGTCGCGCGGTGGCAAGCCATTAAGCCGCGTCGCAGACTCGCTCGCTTCTCAACGCGCCCTGAAGTTTGTGCTAGCAAGAGACGTTGCTAGGCTCAGCGTACAATAAATATATAATAAAATCAAAACACAGATGAGTTGATTCGGGAGCAATTAGAGCACGGGACATCATACTAATTGAACAATCTACCAAAATCAATGTCACTAAAACAATCTAAAATTAATTATGCAATAAATAATATAAAAAGACACCATACTGGAAATGGCCTGTCCACAAAAAAAGCGTCTATTATTATCATTCTATAGAAGTAATCATCACAATGGGGCTTGATGAAAATGTTTTTAATAATAATGGAGCTTAAAGAAAAGCTTTATCGCGCTTATAATCTTAGTTAGTTAGTTAGTTTAGTGGCCAAATGTTTACTAGCGCTTCAGCTATTTAGCTATCTCGCACCGAAAGTCAAGATGAACATCACCATAGAGGTGGAAGGTCTCAATTATTCATCATCCACAAGGGGCGGAAGGTCTCAGATGTCCAGCCCGCAGAAGCTGGCTCGAAAGAAGCAGCGTTAGCATCTCAAAGAGACGAAGTGACAAGGAGGGACAGGTGACAAGGAGGGACAGGTGACAAGGAGGGACAGGTGACAAGGAGGGACAGGTGACAAGGAGGGACAGGTGACAAGGAGGGACAGGTGAAAAGCAGCAGAAACGAAGACACTCGAACAAGAGGTCGCTTACACGGGACGTCGGCCACCCGCACGAAAGAGACAGAGAAGGGAAATGTGAGGAATCCTGCCTACATAATAACTTAACCCCACAACTGAGACCTACAGTCAGACACCGCGAGCTCAACGGTGGGGCGCTCAGGAACAATCCCCCTAGGAACGCGAAATCCCATAGGACTTCTGAGCTTATAATCTTAAATAATTCATGTCCGGGAAGCGGCGACCAGCGCCCTGCAGGAGGTGAGTTAGGGGAGGTGATGAGGGGAGGTGATTAGGGGAGGTGATGAGGGGCGAGGAGGTGATGAGGGGACGAGGAGGTGAGTTAGAGGAGGTGATGAGGGGGCGAATACTTCACAGGTTCACAGCTCCACAAGAACGCACCAGCAGCCAGTTTGTGCGCAGGGAAACAGTATAAAGCTGTTAATAAAGCGCGCCTCTCAACGATGTTTAACATTCAGACATTCATTCAACTCTGTGTCAACCGCCACGGTAAAGTGTTAAGAAGTGGACAGAATAGAAGAAGAAGCAAGTCTGGATCTCAGAACAAGCAGTTGACATTCACTGGCAACTCGTATACAACTCGCAATTATTTGGGCAGCTCTAATAATGTTTCAGTAGAGAACAATTTGAATTAATTTCCTGCAAAACATTGAGCTGACGAGCAAGTTAATGACCAACTATTGTGAGGGGCCTCAGATTTATATAAATCCCTCACAGAGAAGTTTTTGCCGGAGTCTCAAAACGATCGTGGATCTTTAAGGTTTTGTCTAGTATGACACCGTAAATCAAGTTCCGAGGCAAAGCCGAATAAATCTAGACCCAAGAACGAATAACTTGTTTTTACTGAACATAAAGATTATCAGACCAGTTAAAATTTTGAAAAAAACTCATTACTCAACCCAATAGTCATTACAGACAGAAAGTGCACTAATCAAAGCAGTAGTTTTTACAGATAGAAAGTGCGCTACTCAATCATGACAGAAAGAATGGTTGCAAAAAAGGAAGATAAAAATCCCAGTATAGAGAATATCGCTAAGGCTTCAATTTCAGAAGCCATGACATCAGACTAACTCCTGCATTGCTCAATAATACTCCCGTGCGGGGGATTATTATTATTATTATTATACAAGCCCTGTTTCAACTCCAAAATACGATTATAAAGATGCTACTGCACGGCCTGGTCTCAACAACGTAGTCAACATACTGCAATTAAACATTTTAATAATGGGCTACTTTCTCAATGCATATTCATAATAAAAAAATAAAATTACTTTCTAAATGCAAATAAATAATAAACGCTCAGCGGTATCGCACTCAGTGACTTATAATAATAAACTTACTGACCATAAGATTAAAGTTAGTGGCTTCTGTTCAATCGTAGTTGGGCTGTTGACGGTCCATCTTTGGCTTCTGTTGACTCTTCTCTCGTTTATAAAGGCTTCTGCTCAATCGTAGTTGGGCATCGCGCATTTATACGATAAATTACTGAGGGAGATACAAGCGAAGGTTCCTCTGAGCGCATTTATGTCGGATATTTTTAAACTATTCAATCTGAATATTTGAAAGTAATGTCTATTTTGCTCGTATACCGGATCGTTGCCAGGCCGAGGGTCTATGATCACTGGAGGCGCGGTCATGTTGTTGTAGATTATTATTCGCAGGCTTAAAGCATTTGCTATGACCATTGGAGTGATGTCTCCGATTTTGCTATCAAAGTTCATGTCGTCTAAGTACTCAGTTACTGAACTTGTAAAGTCCTCTTGAGTGTCGTATGTTGTGAATACGCAATAATCTTGGTAGTGTTCCTGAAATTGCTGCCTGACTCTGCCGACAATGAACTCTGCACTAAGCACTGGCGGAGCTGTACCTGGAAGCTGCATGTTATAGAAAATACACCATTAGTGTTGTAAATGTAAAGCTTACCTAACTTATAAGAGTTTATTTTGCCGGCAGAGAAGAGGCGTTATACATCATCTTCAGTAGCGTTTATCTGAAGAACTCGAAATTTGAGATACACTATCAACACTCAAATTCAAATAAATTCTCTCAGGAGAAAACGGACACTCTAATTTAACATCCAATTATGTACACAATAAAATACGATCATGCAATGGTGTTCAATGGCAGCATCCTTATTGATAATTTGATAGCTTTATTTCCATCATTTGATGACGTAAACAAATAAAAACTTTCAAGTATCAAAACCAAGCTGTTCATCATCAAGGTTACAGGGCTAAGGCTAAATATTTCAGATAAGATAAGAGGGCTAAATAATTCAGATCTTGGCAACTATTCCGAATAGTTGCGGGACATAAATTCAAGCGAACGCTGGTAATGATGTGATTCGTTCAACTGCGTAAGGGTAACCAAATAAAGTGAGTATTCAAGCCCTATGAAATAATAACTTAATAACTCAAAAAGCCTACAACGGAATATATCACAGATAGAGAGACTAGAATATCATGGTTATGAACCGAGAAACAAACGAGCGGATTTAAAAGAAGTGTACCCTTGCCACGAGAAGATCTCATTTGAGGTAATTGCTAGGTAATCTTAGATCAAACACAACACCTACAGTGCTAACCACAACACTCTAGGCTCCACATTGCTGCAAGCAACGAACCCAGGCACAAATGAACCACTCCAGCCACTTACCGTATATAAGATTCAATAAAAAGGCTTTTAAGGAACAGGACAAAGTTCGCAAGCCTCATTACATAGCATTTAAAATCACAGCCATGAAGACGCTCGAGTACATTCGACATTATCAAATGTTTTAGTGCGGCGAATAAAACTTCAGTTCACTTGAATCTTAAGCCAACCCATGACCTGCGAGAGCGAGTCTCTCTACAGAAAAGATGGCTCACAATCATTGACGCACCTGCTTTCAAGTAACAAATTAAAAACATTTGATTTGTTTTTGCATTAGGAATTAAATTCACGCCGATTTCGAGCTTCCAGTATCAATGATGATCACACTAAAGCTCTCTCACCGTTCGTTGCAATGGTGAATGTGAGTGTAGCGCACTCAGGCGTCTTGTACCACCGAGCTTCTGATAGAACAACACTGAGCTACGAATTGGCCTCTCAGCTATTGCCTAACAGAATATTTTGTTCGTTGACCTTCATTACTACTAATTGAGTTTTGTAATGAAAAACTTTCTGATCATGAAGCGCCTTAAAACACTGGTCTCCGACACTTTAATTTATACCTAATAGAATATCGCTCACGGAAATCTACGGAATAAGCCGTCAATTTACCCGCTTGTAAGTTCGTCAATAATACATTATTTAGATAGCCCCGGTAAATAATTAATATTCGTAACTTGAACGTTAAAATAATCCGAATTTGTCACTTTGTCGCGCTATAACAATTAAACACACCAAGTGTACGGTGTCGTCGATGAACGACACACGTAGTCGAGAAAGGCGCCAGGGCTCGAGACGAGTCATGCGTACTACAGGAGCTACGAGGCCCTAGCGGTACTAGCGTGCCCTTGCAAGGCACTGGAGCACAATGCATCCCTTAGGAGCCCTGAGGCAACAAGCGTCCCCTAGAGGCCCCGAGGCGTCCCATGCTCGCCGTGTATGACGTCGGGGCGCAGGTAGTGTCTGCTGTAGTAGCGCGAGCTGCGCTGGTAATCTGAGCCGCTGAGGTCCTGGCCACTGAGCCAGCGATGAGGGGCCGCGTCTTGTCTGTCTTGTTGCACGAACAAGTGACCTGCGTGATCCAGCCGAGCGTTTTCTATGAGCAAAGGATCTTCGAGAGAGACTTTCCAGGGCTTCAAACTTTTCTTGTCAATATTTGAGTCGATGTTATGCCGACTTGCTATGTCGGACGGTTTATATTGCAGCTCGTTGTGTGCTTCGACTAAAGCTGGCTGAGCAACTACTTTGTTCACCCTGCCCTCACCTGCAGCTGGATCATGATCTGCGCCAGCATGACCAATAAGTGGCTTATTCCTCTCGAATAAATGTTCACTGTCTTCGAATAGGCGTTGTTTCTCTGTCAGCTCATCCAGAAGCATCAGTTCGACTTCTTCTTCGTCCGCGTCAAGGAAGCCGTCGTCTTGGCTCACATCCATCGATGAGGTTGCCATTTTCCGCCGGTCCTGAATATCATCATGGCTCACATCCGGCGGTGAGTAAGGCATTTTCCAGCGGTCCTGGAGATCATCAGGCAGGCGGGATGAACCGGGGAGCGCCTTGACGGGGCGTATGGCAGGCTTGGGGTCCTGGTCGATGGCTCTGGAGGCGTCGCGCGTCGCCCACAGGTAAACATCAAGCGTCTTCTCCGTGCAGTGCGCGATGAAGCGCACGAAGGGGCGCGTGTCGCCCTCGTTGGCAGCCTGGAGTGTGTCGTAGTACTCGAGGCGGTCCTGGTGGCGGATGATGATGGCAGGGTAGCCCGCCTGTAACACAATAAATCATGCTCGTTTCAATACGCCAAAAAGAACTTCAATCAAAAGTTTTGAAACTCCGAAGAGTCCACATGGTCTTGTAATGAACGAAATATTTTTTGTCATGCGCTCAATGCTAAAATTCCGCAAATGTTTGAAATTGAAGATATTCCAAGCTTCACCATCCGTTATGTAAGGCCAAATTAGAATATTTATTACGAATATTTCCAATTCTCTGAAGCTGGGAGCAAGTACAAGGATGGGAGGTGGCGGCACTGGACTCAGTATTAGGAGGGGATTAGTTGACGTTCTCGTAGCAACGTGCTGAGGTTGTTTTGTCTTTTGGGTTAATCTATGAGGACTAAATAAATGTAAGTTAGCGCCTGCAGAGGTATGCTTATTAATAGGAAAGTATGGTAAATGTTACTAGATATCAGAGTAAAAGAACGAAAATATTATTAGTATCAATCGTCCAAAGACTCGTGTTCTTTTTAGACAGGCCGTCATTCAACAGGCCGTAGTCCTGAACATACGGATATACTCAGACTGGCAAAAATTGACTAAATTAAAAAAGCAAACGATCTAGATGTGAAGTTCTAAAAAGCGTTGAGACCCAGTTGATTGGTTGTTAAGCCGATGATTATTACTCTGAATTGGAGTGCACTTTATTTTGATTTTAGTGTAGTTTGCTTTCAGTGCCATGGAAAAAGGTAATCCTCATGACACGCGCCATGCCATGTATATGACGCCGGGCACCTGCATGAGGAGGAAGTTCATGAGGAGGCGCGCGGTGCGGCCGTTGCCGTCCACGAAGGGGTGGATGTAGACGAGCTGGTAGTGCGCCAGAGCTGCGTACCTGCGGCAACAACACAGTCAGGCCTGACTAATACAGAGATGCAAGACGACTAGGACTTGTGACTAATACGACTAGAACTTATGACTAATGCGACTAGGACTAGGACTAGGACTAGTACGACTAGGACTTATGGCGATACTTGTGAATAGAACTTAGAACTAATCAAGTTATGCAACCGTTGAAAAGTTAATTTCCCGGTATTAAAAGGTTGATACATGTCAACAAAAAATTAAATAACTTGTCCTGCTCTGTGATCCGATCCAATGAGAAAGCGAAGCTGACAGCTCGACAGCAACAGTTGCGTCACTACGAAGGATATGGAACAGCGGCACCTCCCACGTCAACCAACCAACATCCCCCCGAAAATCCCGTGATGGTGGGGGGATTGTCCCGCTATCCCCATGGTCCCCACCATCCCGTCCCCCCACAATCATTGATGGCCTACGCACCTAGCACGTTGAACTCAAACAATATCTGCACTCCAACAAAATTCACGGAGCCATCATGCAAGAGACAAAGCTCAGGTACTTACGTACACAAGAAACCATCCATCCCAAAGTACGCTGCCATCAGACAAGATAGGCAACACGAGGAAGGTGGTGGATTAATTACATATATCCCCCATAATATAGCCTAATTGGAGAAAACACAGCACATCAGAAACCTAAGACAAGTGGACATGCACACAGAACTACAGGCATTTCTCATCCAGACAGCTTACAAACAACACATTACCATCATCAACATATACTTTCCTCCAGAACACTCACCGGGTTTACCGGCCCACTACACTCCCACACTTCAAGCATTAAACACACTACCAGACCTAGTCCTTGATTTCAACGCAAACATCCAGACTGGTACAACCCACAAGACACCACTGCTCGAGAGATGGAGATCAGCAACCAACTAGACCTGCTCTTCATCCTAAACAATACACTCGCATACCACATCGAGCCCAATATAGACCCACCTCCCCAGACATCACCTTCTGCTCCCCATCACTCTCACACAGGATTTCCTGTAGAGCGGTAACAGACCTCTCATTCGACCACTTACCGGTACCCATAATCATCAAACTGCCTACTACTACAAAAGACAATAACCTACACACTTCACAATTACAAGAAAAGCTCCTGGGAAGAATTCACCAGGGAAACGGAGGTCCGCTTCCAGGAGCTGAACACACAACCCATCACCAACATCGACCACACCCTCACCCACTTCAACACCATCATCACCGAAGCTGAAAAGAAATATGCCCCCAAGGGAAACAGGAAAAAGTACAACCCTAATTTCACACCTGATATCTCCTGTCTCATCAGAACAAGTAACAACCTACGACGCACACCAACACTACACTCACAGGCAACTACAGACAACATCCACGAACTGAATGAACAAATCAAAACCTCTATAAGGAACAGACAGAAGCAACGCTGGGAAGAGTTCGTGGCGACACTAGACCACAGGACCGACTCCTCAAAACTATATAGAACAATCCGCAGCCTCACTAACTCCAACAGTGGCCTCACACATCACACTCAGCTACTGGTCAGCCAACAAACGTGTCCTTACCATCCACTCACCTGACGGGGTGCACCACTCACCTGACGGGGTGCAGGGCCAGGGATGCACCACTCACATGACGGGGTGCAGGGCCAGGGATGCACCACTCACTTGACGGGGTGCAGGGCCAGGGATGCACCACTCACTTGACGGGGTGCAGGGCCAGGGATGCACCACTCACCTGACGGGGTGCAGGGCCAGGGATGCAGGGTCGTTGAGCCACGAGACGAACTGATGCATGAGCTCCTCCAGCCGCGGGGGCGCGGGGGGCAGGTGCGGCCCTACGAACACCTGCACGTGACAGCCTAGGTCAGCTGCTACATCAGCTGCAACATCTGCCTCAACATCAGCCTGAACATCAGCCTGAACATCAGCCTGAACATCAGCCTGAACATCAGGCTGAACATCAGCCTGAACATCAGCCTGAACATCAGCCTGAACATCAGGCTGAACATCAGCCTGAATACCAGCCTGAATAATACCAGCCTGAATAATATCAGCCTAAACATTAGCCCAAACAAACGAGTAGAAAATACGTTATTTACCATTAAAATATCCTCATGTTCGATGATCTTTAAAGTTGCAATTATTTGATTCCACTAAATCCAAAAACGGTGCTCATCGAACAGAAATATATTAAGGTGCATTTATAAAATTAGACAGTGAATAGTGGAAACTGAATATAAGTAGGTATTTGAGCGAGAGATGAAGAAAATAGGATGCTACATCACAAGAAAATCCAGGACATGTAATAATAGTGAAAAAACTCGGCAACTGACAATTTCATCGAACGCATTGTAGGTTTTAAACGGGATTTGTTCACAATACAAATATAATATATACGTGCATCTAGAGTGGAGATCTAGTACTCTATACACAAGTAAAGTCAAGAACGTACGTAGTCAATACGAGAAATAAATCTTGTCAAATAAATATCAATAATCCCAAAACGCTCAAAAGGACAGAACTTGGAAATCAGCAGAAATGGAGTCTGGCGTTTGACACACGACACCACAACACACAGGGCAGCCCAAGCCTTCCGTACCTGGGAGGTGCGGAGGTGGCCGGCAGCAGGAGGGTCGGTGTGGCCCAGGACGCGCAGGTGGATGTCGAGGATGTCCTGCAGTGTGATGGCGCCCACGCGGTGCAGCAGCGAGCTGTTGATGTAGCGCAGCGCCGACGCCACGCCCAGCACCTCAGTGTGCTCTGCCACGCCCTTGCCTGCAACACAGCCACTGTATATTGGGTGTTGCTGCAACACAGCCACTGTATATTGGGTGTTGCTGCAACACAGCCACTGTATATTGGGTGTTGCTGCAACACANACCATCACCTCAGTGCTGTACCTGTCTCTTATACACATCTAGATGTGTATAAGAGACAGCACAGCCACTTCAGGGGCCACAGCACCAGGCGCAGTAAAGCCTATTATTTGCCTGCCACTTCAGGGGCCACAGCACCAGGCGCAGTAAAGTTTTTAATTAAAGTCAGTCGCTAAATAATAGTAGGTATGTATAATAATAGTAAATAGTAAGTCCACACCTATTTAGACAGAGCAAGATAGCTGTGAAAATTTGTTCTATCTACCAAATTTTGGCGACATTCTTCCGTGCATCATTTAACATTTCCATTTTAATAACATTTCCATTCTCAATATTTCCATTTTAATAGCGCCTGGAATAATATCGTTTATGCCCATGTTGAAAATGATAGAAATTTGAATATTGAAATTAAGCGCCTCTCTCCTGAGCGGCCGTGGACACCTGCTACACCGAGGCCAGTAAGAGCATACTGCTACACTGAGGCCAGTAAGAGCATCCTGCTACACTGAGGCCAGTAAGGCCGTCACCTGCTACACTGAGGCCAGTAAGAGCATCCTGCTACACTGAGGCCAGTAAGAGCATCCTGCTACACTGAGGCCAGTAAGAGCGTCACCTGCTACACTGAGG